TTATTATTTGCAACCTTTCGATGCACGAAAGGAGGAGAAGGGAAACGGTGAAATTTTTTATTCGAACGAAACCATCCGGAAGAAACGATCCTTGGACAGGTTTCGCGGATTCACCGACAGCCGATTCGATTCATTCTGTAATGGCAATGATCACGGGGACGGCTGTTCGATCCTCGCTAATGCGAAAGCTCGCCGTTCGCGTCGCATTAGTCCGCGGTTCTACGTACACCGGCGAAATTGATTACCAATACCAGCTCTCGGTGGCTGGCTGGGCTGACTATCGCCGGCCGCGTTCTCGTGTTCGTGCAGTAATGATGTTTTGATGCGAGGACCCCGGTGCACCGCGCGTATCGACTGCAGTTAACTAATGGAAGCTCTCCGATAATTGCGAGCGCCGCCGGAGAGTAAATGTTGCCAGCGCGACAGTAATCATCGTTACCACCGCTGTTCTATCACACCGCGAAACGAATTCGAGCGATGCCACCGCGTTGAGAAACTCTCGACGGTGTGTGGCTCGTTTAAACTTAGACAAATTTTTCCAAAAAATAAATCATAATATGTATAAATGTAAAAATCCTCTCTTTTGATATAATAATTCTGTAATAACAACATTCGTTTCCATGGAGGAAAATAACGAAGAAGTTGTAAGAGGAATTAAACGAATGAAGAAATAAAACTCCTGAGTATCCTTTTTTAGAGAAAGTAAAATCGATCGATCTAAAAATCTGTATTGTAATAGTTTGAAATTATCGACTGTTTAAAGGTGTTCTTTTACGTTCCATCTCTCTTTTACTCATCTACTTTATTTCGTTCTCTACGAAACCGTATGAATCGAATCTGTAGAGTATATAGATATATCTGTACAAACAAATTCGAGTATTATTCATATATGCGAATAGAGCTCACTAAATTTCGTCACGGTTCCGCGAGATACACCCTCTCGTAACTCTGACTTTTATGCCTTTTTCGATGTCATATGCTCCTCTTGCTTCACTACCCGACGATGAACTTGAACTTGATCGATTCACACGAACGATGTATTCCGTGTACATATACTTTTAATACGTATGATATCTAAAACGATAATTAAATCGAATTTCTTCGAAATTGTAATTATGGAGAGGAATATTCGTTGATTATATATTTATAAAGATATTCCATTTTTCGAAAAATTCAAATTCGGAAGGATGACGAGGCGAGTGTGAGAGTCAGTCACGCTTTTCATCCAGCCCCTCGCGTGACTGGGTTTGTTTCACGCCGCGAAACCGAGACGCCCCCCTCCGGTTTCATAATCAAAACTGCATTAAAATCCTGAAAGCGGCGACGAGGGCGCGTTGAAAAGTGTTTTGTCATCCCGTGGGGGTTGGCGCAATATGGCCTCTCCCTTAACGCTTTCCAACGTTGGATCCGAGCGAGCGTCGTAAACCGATAATTTTACCGGCCCATTACGATCGTTCGCGATAACGAACCCGTAAAAAGCGCATCCGTGAGCTTCGAGAGTACAGACGGACTATCTTAAACGCGATAATAACCGCGATAAAACTAATTTCGCGTTGCCAGATGGAAAACTCGACGATCTTTGATAGACTTGAATTTCCTTTGTGAATTTCCAATGTTTTAATGTTGATTTAACTATCCACGATACAATGATCATCGTAGATGCTAATCAAGCGTTTGAAATGTATCGTAAACCTTTCCTACTACTTTATTCTTTTATTTGGATATCAGAAAAATTTCAGTGATCAAATGCCAAGATAATTTAGCAATATTTAATTTCTAATTTCTAATTTACTTAATCCAACACGAAAAAGATAGAAGAAACCAGGGTCGAAAATTTACGAAATTATGATCGATTCTCGATCAAACGTCCGAAATACAAAAAAATCGCGATATTTGTAAAATAACCAGCTCCAGTGGACGAGGAACGAGAGATGACAGGACCGTTTGCCAGCCGCCATCTCGACTGTAAAATTTCATCCTGTCCGTTCTACGCGCGGCGGGCTTAAGTTTTCCGGTGGCGAAGATATTTTTGCCGGTTTCCAACCCCCATTCCCCACGAAAGGGCGAAGGAAAGAGAGAGAAAAGGTTGGGCAGTTGCCACTGCTTCCCATCCTCTCTCTCTTTCTCTGTCTCTCCTCTTCTCCCGTCTCTGTTCTTGTGCGCGCCATTGTTCGGGCGATATTTCAGTTACGGGGGTGGTCGGTAGGAGGGTGGGCGCGGGGGTTGGCAGAGGTAGTCAGCTGGCTGTGA